CTCACTTCTATGAAGTATTATTTGCCTTGAAAAGTTGCGCGAGCGCCGCGGTAATAAGAATTTTTCGCCGCGCGTAAAACCTGCAAATGTTTAACGGCAAACAGCTGTCGCTCCGGGAACAATTCACGCGCTGACTGGTGGATTTCGCTAAAACTCCGAACGGTCATAACCGCTAGAAATTTTTCGCCGCCCGTGAATAACTAGGAAGATGTCCGAGGAACGATCTGCAAACAATAGTTCGGCTCTTCGGGAGTTCCGGAATTCGTGTTATGATATTTGTCGTACGTGACTTGGCCGTGCTACCGCACTCATAAAAGTTGCGGTCGAGATGTATCTTCCGAAGGAAACGTGACGGAATGCGATGGAAACCGGCAGATAATGCTTTACAAGCTTTCCTTATTACAACGTGAAATCAAAACTCGACCCAGACGCGTTAGAAAGTTTCAATGAAAAATGATCCTTGTTCGCACATCTCGTGTTTGTTTTATAACAGAAAATTATTGTGTAACACCACCTACTATAACATCATGTTTTTATTATACTTCAGACGTACGTACAAGTTGATACATCGTAAAACACTTCGTTTCAATATTGCCTTAGAACGGTTTACAAAAATTGTTGGTTTTTGTTTTTCAATGGTCGTTTTATGACGCACGAATAAATGTCGTAAATGGACGTGACGAAACGTTGACCAGCAAAACGGACACTTATTATTTAAGTGCTTATACAATTTATATAATTCTTACGATCTTCCATTACTCCTCGACGAATTAGATTTAATAACTACGCAACAATTCACTTTTCTCCAATATTTAATTACCTATTCACTTCCATGCGTCACACGCGCATCGTATAACCACGATTACGTCGACTCGCGTTTAGAACGTTCGCAGGTTTGCGAAAAAAAGGAATGATTATTTCGTGTAAATTATTCATTACCATTTGATTAGCCGGTGCGTCGTCTCGCAGCTATTAAATTCATCGATTTGCAGAAGTATTGCGCGCGCGCGCAGTGGAAAAAGATCGAGGAGCATCAAGTCGATTTCATCGGGGACGTAAACATCTAATTTATATTCCGACCTGAATTTATTTTCATGATTAAAACACGTCCCGTCCTTTGCGCACCTCTCATTTTGTTTTTCCGAATCGTCGTAAGTTGGCACGTAAGGCGATAAATCGACACCAGAGGCGGTGTGTATCAATAGCCTGTCGTGCGTGCGCTAGAAAAATGAACGAGGAATAAAACCCATAAAACGCGTGGACACGAAGAATTCATTTTCTTAAGTGCCCGGGGAAGAGGCTTTAAATTTTCAAGGCGTAACAGGAGATGGACGTATCAAGATGAATGAGGGTCAGTTTCCTGTTAGAAGATAATATCTAATAGAATTTTGATGGGAAGCTGTAAATATTCCGGCCTGTAACGATGAAGTCATTGGATAATGACTATCATCGGAATGGCTTTTACGATGTTCTTGTACAGGCTTTTTGTTAAACGTAACTGAACTCTACCAATTTCAGGATTCCGTTTCGCGCCGCCGGCAGCTGTAAAACGGAATTAATGCGCATTTTTACGCGCCCGATGATATATTTGTGATTGCTCGTAAAATGATGGACTGCTGCAATTGAATCCCCCCCCTCCCTCTTCGACTCGTTTCTTTTTTCATTCGTTTCTGTATCCTGAAAATCGAGTTAATTAAAATTGAAATTCCCCGGCCGATCGTTTTCTTTTAACTTGTGCGCTGAAACGCCGTTCGATAGCTGCCTGTAAGGACCATTCGGTTTAACCGTGATCGAGGAAAATCGATTCTTCGGTATCATCGTCGTTCTCTGAAGTCCCTTTCGCAGATATAATTTATCTACGATGGGGATCGACGCTGTGTAGATATATTTTCTTAGAAACTTCAATCTAAATTTCGCAATTATCACATTTTCTCCCTAGAAAATAAATCATAAATTACCATTAACGATACCAATTACACAAGAAACATAACTGAAAATTCAACAAATCAATAACATCAAATTCTATGAATCCAATTCACCATCACAATATAATCTCTAAAACATCAGAACAAAATCAACCAATCAACCCCAGAAAACCAACAAAAAACACTCGATAAACCAACCACCGCGATAGGAAAGTCAAAATCTCGCGAGACAGTCGAGATTCGCGAATAAATAAATCGCGGGTCCCCTAGAGAAGCCTCATAAAATCGGTGCTCGCACACGCGTGCATCGATGGCAGAATCATGGCGGTCCGAGCGGCATCGCACGCAACCATCTCCGCCGCGATCCTATCGTCCAACAAATTCGGCCATGTGCACGAGTTACTGCCGCCATAAAATTCCGGCCATTTAACGATGGCAAGAATTTATTGGATATTTTTGGTAGCTAATGTGGCCGGCGACCTTCTCCCTTCTTTAGCCCGTTCGTTCTTAGCGATCCCCCGCTCCGCTCTCCTTCTTCTTCCGTTTCGCCCTCCTTCCGCCGCCCCGCCGCTCCGCCCGCTGTACCTTCTATCATTGGGCATCGCGGCCGAAAACTCGTGTACTTCTCGCACGGGTCAGATACGCGTCTCTGATCGAGCATGAAGATAATGGCGGCGGGGACGGGTTCATTTATTGGGTGTAAATCTCCTCGCCGCGTAGAGAGCGGGCCCTCTGTGCGTTTCGCCTCTCGGCCACCGTGTAATCGCGTCCCCACGGTTATCCCTCTTAACGTATTTCATCGAAATTCTCGGTGTCGAAAGACACCGTTTACACGGGGACCGACGTTAAGAAAGCTTTACGACGTGCCCCCTTCAGCTACCGCCTCGTTACGAAAGCCCGCGGTGTCTCGTACGTCTGCGGCCCCCTGTTAAGCCCCCTGCACACGTTCATGCAGCTATCCTCGGGTTTCGTGATGCACACTGCTTTCTACGGGTATTGGACGAAATAATGGGAATCTTACATTGGACGAATTTTGTATTAATATTGTAAAGGGTCACTCGTGGAGTTTTCTGAGAAAGGAATTGTGGAGATTTTGAATTTTCAATACTAAAATCGTTAAGCAGTTAAATTGACTTTTTGAAATTTTATAGAAAGTTCAAGAGTGCGTTGAGACTTCAATTGATCTGCAGTTTGCTACCTCGGTTTCTTTAATAATTTCTCAGAGAAACTCTAGTAGTTAGTGTTAATGAAGTTTTTGCAGGAACCACACTTTTAAACGATGGCTTGTAATTCTGTTGAAACCTAAGGTTCTTAGTGTTTCACTTCAGAGCTTGTATGAATGTTATATAATTAATTTACTGTTTAACAATCACTTTTATTTATTTAAGAATATTTAGGAAGTACTAAAGTTGTACTTATATATGATACAATTATAATATCAGAATGATTACAGTAGAAATTAGCGAAGTACTTGATTATTGAAATGAAACTGAATGTTAAATTTTCCTGGACACGTTATGTAAAGGTTTGAGCAACATTTTGATCATTTCGCTCGGCATCAGAAACAACTGGCGTATGAGAGACTGAAAAAATCGGCAGTGTGGAGGCGAACTGCTGTCGATGCACCGCAACATGTTTTAACGTGTGTAGGGGGCTTTAGAGGCTCCGCTGCTGCCGTTGCTGCTGTTCTGCGGCGGGAAAACGTACGAGGAGATTCGCCGCGGATTTATCGGCGCGATGATGCGCCAAAATACGAGCCGACAAGCGACGGTGACGCAAAGACCCGGGAAACTTGGCTTGTTTTAAGGTTGGCAGTTAAGGAGCCGTCTTCCTCGTTCGGCGAGCCCTGTGACGAGCCGGCTCGATATTTTAGGGGCTATCTGATCCCGAATGGGAACTTTCCTTGATACTTAATTGTGAGAGATAGGAGCAGGTCGGAGCAGTAGGTAAATCGAATAGGAGTTACGGCTTGCCTTGTTGCCGAGGTTGCTTTGGGATTTATTGGCGATCGGTGTTTTGTGGAATCGAGCGGGAGGAGGTTTAGTTAGAGTTCGTTGGTGCATCTACTACTTGGTGATTTACCTTAGACATTTTTTTTATTATGCATTCTGTTTCTTTTTAATTTTATATTCTATTTTGTGTTTTGTTTTGTACTCTAGAATTTCTATCTTCTTTTTTCTTCTTTATAGAAGTTCACTATATCTATAATGTCTGTGTTATCGATGTTGGAGTAAGATTCTTTAATGACGCTACGACGAAAGAGAAATTGTTGCGACCTTTTTGATAATGAAAATATCCATTTTATGCGTCTGTTATTTTAGTCGTGTAAACTATAATAGTTTGTAAGCTATATAGTTGTTTCATAGTATTATGAATACGTTCCAAGTGCAATGAAGATATATATCACGTGAGGCAGAACGTATCGCAGTAAAATATATTTAGAAGGTATACAACATTTGATCATACTAGATTATAAATTAAACCCTCTAGTTCCATCAATCTTATTTACATACGCTTTAATGTGTCCAAATAACTTTCGCCGACGTGAAATCCGAATTTTCCACGGAATCACATTTCTACTCGCGCGGTGATACGAATAAAAAGCGAATGGCACGAAAAAAAGAGTCTCGTTAAATATACCTGGTCGAGTTTTCCCATAGCCATAAACGCAAGGACTTAGTTTACGACCTAATATTCTTTTATGTAAATGTAAGTAGAAATTACGAGCTTCACCATGATTTTTTTCCTGATCGAACCATTTGCAATTCTTACACGTATCACCATAAAAATTACTACCATTTAATTATTTCGTTTAATGTCGAACTTTACGAGGATAAAATGTCCGTGCATGTACGT